CATTTATCTTCGCCTACATCCATAATTTTGCTTTCTACATTAAATCATAATCAAATTTTAGAATGAATGTTAGTGTAAAGATAAAAAAATGTATAAGTTTGTATTTCATACTATTATATTATATCAAATTTTGCACTTAATCATGAACCTTTTGTACAAAATAAATTAATAGATAACATTACAATACAATACAAAACTAAATAAATAAATATTTTTTCTTCATTAAGTTCAATGTACCTTACCAAATAAATTATTAGCATTTTTAAATTGATAATCTCCATGTCCATTTTGTTTTTTTAGTTTAATTTTTTCCTAGTGACTAAAATGTAGTAGTACAAAGCCTTTTGCATTTCCCATTCATCTATTATTAGATAATGGAATTCTAATAGACACAACATCAATGGCCACAAACGGTGGCTTAATTGCTATTTAATGGAAACAATAAAACTAACGGTGAAAAAAGATTTTCCGTTAAAACAACCAATTCCGTTATATTTTCCGTTAAAACAAGAATTTCCGTTTCATAGACACTTTTTATATATAGAAGATAGTAAGTCACTCCATAATCCGGTAGGAAACTACACTACACTTGATAATAAAGAAAATCGTAAGTAGCATGTATAGTATTCAAAACATAGAACGTGTAGCCGTTCAATGTGCACGAGTCATGTGTGATGTTTCAAACATAGATCTATTAGTTTTGGATTGAAATCGATATCCATGACCCCGAAATGGCATCTGGTCGTTTTAAATGTATGACTGACGTTTTTACTCATTTAGTGTTAGTTTTGATTCATTTAGGCCCATAACCGTGTGAAAGTTTAGAGATGAAAGTTTTAACTACACTTTGACGTTGCAGTCGACACATTTGTTCAAACTATAGTGAGTCACTCCATAATTCGTAGAAAACTATACTACACTTGACAATAAAGAAAAACGTAAGTAGTAAGTATAGTATTCAAAACATAGCACATGTAGTCGTTCAATGTGCACGAGTCATTGTGATGTTTCAAACACAGTTCTATTAGTTTCGGATTGAAATCGAAACCTCGTGATCCAAAACGTTATTTATCATTTTAAACGGGGGGTTGCTTTTAGGGTTTAGGTTTTAGGGTACATGGTTTATAAAACAGAAAAACGTGTAATAGTTCAAAATGACATGTTGTCCTTTTACATGTAAGGGTGCCATTTATGGGGTAGAGTATAAAAAAATAGCACGTGTAGTCGTTTAATATGTTCAAGTGAAATCGAACCCTGTTACCCAAAATGACATGTCATCATTTTACAAGTATGACTGTCGTTTATGGTATACAAAACATAGAACGTTTCGGACTGAAATCGACCTATCACTTAAAATGGCACATGAACGTTTTAATTGTATGACTTTTATTTTTTTCTAATTCAGTGTTCATTTCGCATAATTTTTTATCATTCAACCCAAACAAGTCATCTATGATGTTCCAATACTTGTTTCGTAGTAAAATCGAGACCTTGTGACCCAAAATTGCATGTTATCATTTTAAATATATAACTTTCATTTTCCAAACTAGGTGAATTTGCGAAGTTAATAATACAATCTATTTTTCCATGGCATAAATATACAAGCTGTCATAAAAACTGCAACTCCGTTTCGACCCTGACCACTTCAATGTTTGAATAAAACATTCATATAATGGAAAACATAGCAAAATTTAATAGCAACACTAGTCAACATTCATACACTGGTTCTGTAATCAATCATAAAAATCAAGACTAACTAGACAAAATCAGCATCTATGCACATGTTTTCGAACTAAATCATACAAAACACTATCATCTAGACAAAATTAGCATTTAAGTCCTATATCCTCCTACAACATAAAATTGAAAAATATACAAAGAAAACAATTATGGATCGAAATACATGGCAAAAACTTCACCAGCTAGTTTCTTCTTCCAACATTCAAGTATATTGTCAGATATAACTTTCACGTCTAATCCCGCTGACAAAAGTTCTATAAACTTGATAGTGTATATTCCGCAATCTCCCCTATAAAGATATTTGAAATAATAAATATAACAAATGTAGTATCAAGACAATGACAATATAAAGAAGGTTACATATAGATTATTTATTCATTGTTTTGTTGTGGAACATCTACACATCGACGCCAACCAAACTGCTTCTGTGGATAATTTTCCCCAAACAACCAATTGAAAACCAGATCTCATCTTTTTTTTTGTTACAATCATCCTCATTACAAGCTAGTGGACTAGTTGGGCTGAAAAAAGTTATACGCTTCATTTAATATAGTTGATCAAAACAAGATTCAATGAGCATTTCTTGGTGAACATCATCTAACATCTCTTGAACATAGTCAAGTTCTGTTAGGGAGCACTTTTGCGAATGTCTACTTCTAATTCTATCTTTAGTGGGAAGCACATACTCAAATGAGTGTTCCATTTCTACAATTAAAATCATAAAATGATCATGTTAATTAATCAATGAACAATTATGAAGAATTTACAATAATGTTAAGTGTACAATTCATTTTAAAAAAAGATAAACGACAAGGTGACATTTTCAGAATTACATAAATGACAGGGTGCCATTTTCAAAATTAGATAAACTTTAGGGTGCCACTAAGAAGTCAAATAGAATTGACAGATCTATATTGGTGGAATTTTGGAGATCAAGTTGATTCACATAACAAGGTGTTGCTATTGAATATTCTAAAATATGATTTAAATAGCAACGATAAGTTCTTTTACATTCAACCTGAATCAGGTTAGTGGATAGTGAAGACCAAGTGCCCAATATGAATGCAGCTTTGGAGCACACAGTACCAGAAAATCAGAAATCTACATGGTTGGTTATGCACAAAAGTACACAGAATTTCTATGGTTTGAGAGAGTTATATTCAGCTCTCCCATTTGTTATATGTGAAATTCAACATCCTCCTCTCCAAATTTGAACTCTTATTTCTTGAATGATTTTGTATTGTGATTAGTGGACTCTAGAACATTCAAGTATATGCATAGGCATGCAGATGACAAAAGAAAGAAGATTGTTAAGATTGTATACCCAATGCATATTTGTATAGGTGTATCAATTGCTCAAGGGTATTACACTGGATTTCTAAGAAATTAGGATATAAACCAACAACTTGGACATGTCACTAGACATAAAGGTGCCTAGTTCTATACTAACAAAGCAGGGATCTCACAAAACGCAGATTAGGTTCGAAGCATTACTTCATAAAAAAATATTCCTTTATAAAATGACATAATATTGCTCATTCCGTCAAGAAATTGAAAGTTTTAGAAAAGAGACCTATAAATAGCAATATACCAAAATTTTGTCCAACCGCACATGAACTGGGAGGAAGAAATTGTCGCCTTCAAAAGAGGAGAAGAATTTAGGGTTAAGAGCATGCTTGACTAAGCTTAAAATCCAATTAAAATTGAAAATATAGTCGTTATTGGGTCTCACTCGTCTAATAAAAGTCAACAATAACGGCTAATTTTTCAATTTTGATCCGATTTTAATATCTACCGAACACGTCCTAAGTGTTTCTATCACTTTGGGTAAAACCTTAAGAGAGAAGGGAAATTGGAAATTCGCTGTAATGTAACAAGGGTAATTTAGGTAATTTATTAATTTTGACTTAAAATATTTATTTTAAAACTTTAATTCTCTAAAATTGCAAAGTTTATTATATTACGAAGGTGGGTAATTAGCACAAAACGTCCCTACCTTTGGGGTTGATTTTGGAAACTGTCCCTACTTTTCATTTCTTGGCATTTATGCTCTTACCTATCACTTTTGTGCGCTGAATATCCTTTTTACTATGTTTTGACGATTTTACCCTCTATTCTGATAAAAGAAAAAGAAAATAAAAGAAAAATTAAAGAATTAATTGCAGTCATCTCCCAAATTTTTAAAAAAGTTCAAATTAGTCCAAAGCCTTATTAAATCATTAAAAATGAAAAAAAAATTCTCTCTCTCAAACGAGTTGGGGAGAACAATTGGAGATCATTTGGCCTTCAATTGAATCATTACCCATTGCTGTAATAGCCTCTACATCATGCATGTTGGTCTAATTGTGAGCATTATCACCAATACCATCATCAATTGAAGCCTGAAATTCTTCCTGTCGCGACGGGTGCGACATAGTCTGAGAAAATTTGCAAATCCGGCGTCGTCCGAACAAAGTCCGGTCTCGGACCACCTGGGCTAGGTGTGCCTTCACCTGGCGCACAATGCCAGCCATGGGTCTGAACCAATTGCACCTGGGACCGAACCAATTTTTGGCTGAAGCGATGAACTTGTGTGAAAAATTTGGAACGAACCCATTTGATGAATCTATGCTGCTCCACCTCTTCAATTCGACCAACCAAAACTCAATTGATAATGGTAATGTTATGGGTATTCATCAAATTGCATCAATTAAAGCTCCTACAACCAGATTTGAATCTGTCCCATTACCCGAGAATTTTTCAGCTCCAATTGAAGGTTCTATTGAAGTTTTTGCTCCAATTTCGACCCATATTCATGAAATTGGGGATAATTTGGTTATGGGTAATCTTCCAATTGATGAAAACAACAAGCAATTGGACCCCAATTTCATGCGCCAAGTTACGACAATTGTGATGCCTTTAATAAGGCTTTGGACTAATTTGAACTTTTTAAAAAATTTGGGAGTATAATTGCAATTAATTTTTTAATTTTTCGTCAAAATATAGTAAAAAGGATGTTCAAAGCACAAAAAGTGATAGATAAGGATATAAATGCCAAGAAATGAAATGTACTAACGATTTCCAACCCAAATGCTTAAGAAGTTATTTGACCCAATTTTGCGCACAGGGAAAATTAGAAATAAACGAAAATTCGACCATACGTAACAAATTCATTCACATTCTACGTCACACAAAAACTGATCAACAGAACTCTCTACCCAAATCAGATCTATAATAGCTTCGGTGCAGTGCTCAAATCACGCGGAGCGCATAGAGTAATCATGATCTCTCAGTTCTTCGTGCTTTCACAGAGAGGCGACAACATAGTCTTCCGAGATTGTATGTCCCATATATGTATTCCATGTTAATATCAGATCCTGTAGAATTGAATGTCATTCCTTGAATTAGTTCAATTGGGGTTTGGATTTTGATTCGTCAGTGTGCTTATTTTCACGCCAGATTTTATCTAATTTCGTAATTTTTTCGCGGTTGATAATCAATGCAATTTTTTTTCTTACCCTTTTGATTTACTAAGTTAAAGCTTGCATAATGAAACTTGTCGTAATTTACTTGCTTGGATTTACTTTCATTCTTTTTGTAATTCTGAGATTAAATGAACAGACAATGTAAAGATTTAGTGGATTATGAGCGTGAAACTTCAGTAGGTGAAGACTTAGTTTCTACTTTTGGATGAGTGTATTTCCTGATTCCAACAATACAAAGTTTTTCTACTTTCCCCAACTACCAAAAAAAGAAAGGCCTTGCTTGCTCCTAACTGTCCTAAGGTAGCGAAGTTCCTCATCGCCTCAGTAGCGCCTACACAATTGTTCCTATTACAGAGGCTAAATTTGAATTCTTAATTTTATCTGCTGAGCTTGTGAATTATATATATTTTTTTAACTAAAATCCTTGTAACTTACATAACGTTCCTGTCCTTCCCCTTGTCTACTGTGGGATTTTCATTTTTTTTTGCAAAGCCACTGTGCCTGGGTTGGAGGTTGGTAACACGGGGGCATTTTTGGTGATATTTGATTAAACTTCACAGTTTGGGGCTTCTGACAAAGGTGATGATTTAATGGCATTTTGAAGGTTGTGATTAATGAGGCTCTATTAGTACAAAAGATAAGGACATTGAAAAGGTTTCCCAACTTGGAAATCATTTATTCAAAATTGTCCTGATAATGAGCATTCAGTTAACAGTTACTATTTAATTTTTTCCCTAACCTTGCTAATCTTGAGACCTGATTCTCGTTTTATTATCTATGAGATGTATAACATTACTCAATATATTTTCCAATGTTGATCACACAACTCTGCTTGACTTCAAGTTCGCTAGGATGTGCAGGTGTAGAAAGCCTGATATGGTTTTTTTTGCTTATTGTTTCTTCATATGTATTCTCGAATTTTAACATTTTCCTAATTATATTATTTCAAAAAATGCAGATCGAGGTGATATACAGAAAGGAAGCGCAGAGATATTTTTCCGTAAAGTGAAGTTCTGGAAAGAAGATGGCAAAGAGGAAGCCCCTCCTGTCTTTGTAGGTATTTTATGTTATTGAAACTACAAGACACTAATATACATTTTCTTTGATAATGATTTTATTACAATATTGATAAAGAAGTTAACATATTTGTGGCTCATGAGCAACTTGAATCCTTTTCAGCTAAGACTTTTGTATATAAAGGGTTATATAGCATAGTAATTGAATATTATCATAAAATTTCTTCTAAGGCAAGTAATTTTTTTTTTGTGTTCATTTCTTTAACACTTCAAAACTAGATACACCAAATTTGGCTTTCTTGTTGTGGTGTCTATGTGATCAACTAGAACTTTTGCTCCTAGTTATAGATATTTTCCTTATCTTTCCTTTTGCGACAGTAATGAATTGTCAATGTTAACAGTGATACCCCTTTTCATCTTTTCAGAATTTGGATGGTGTAAACTACATTCATGTGAAGGTGGTTGGCCTGCTTTTTGTTGCAACTACAAGGAACAATCTGCCACCTTCCCTTGTGTTGGAGCTTCTACAAAGGGTTGCTCGTGTCATCAAAGATTACCTTGGTGTTCTTAGTGAAGAGTCGTTACGAAAAAATTTTGTGCTTGTTTACGAGCTTCTTGATGAAGTTATTGTAAGGATTACACAAATGCACGATACTGTTACTCCACATTTCCCCCAGCATGATGCAAATAGCACAATCAACCTCTTCATTCAATTAACTGTCCTCCACTAAAGTCTTGCACTTTATGCTACTCATTAATGTTTAGATAAAAGTATAGCAACAGATGCAAATTTATGAGATATTTCTTTTCTTTCTATTTCACTCTCAAAGCTTAATCTATTCTATAGGTTCTTAATGTTTTTATTCTGAGATTCCAGTTTTCATTCTTCTCGTGCCAGGATTTTGGCTATGTTCAAACAACATCTACTGAACTCTTGAAGTCTTACATATTTAATGAGCCAATTGTGGTTGATGCTGGACGCTTGCCTTCCCTTGGTCCTGCAGCTTTATTTATGGTATCAAGTTGGTTTGCACTGTAGAGATAAAATAGAATGCCAATAGAATTAACCTCAGTTAAAAACTAGTTAACAAGTAAGATTTATATGTGATATTACTGATGCTTGCAACTTTAATTCATGCAGCAAGGAACCACAAGAATGCCAGGGACAGCTGTTACAAAATCTGTTGTGGCACATGAACCAGGGGGTAGGAAGAGGGAGGAAATCTTTGTGGATGTAATTGAGAAAATAAGTGTCACATTCAGCTCTAGTGTGAGTAATTGTGTAATATTGAATGACAAATATCCATATATCTGAGTTACAATGCCTATCAAAAAAATATATCTGAGTTACAACCATATAGATTCTGCATACGGACTAATCTAATTCCTTGGCTATATCTAGTACCATGCTTATCTCCTTGATAATTAGTTAGTAATAAAAATGGGATGCAGTGAATCTTGTATTATGCTTTGCATGTGAAGAACAAATTTTAAGTTCGATGCAGCCCCAGAATTGTATGATGCTCCTCCATATATCTCTTAAGCAATTGGGGCTAGGATGGTCTCATGATGCAGACTAGCATAAAGAGCAAAATTTTGCTAGTATGTTTATTTTCTTTTCGAACTGCTATATTTATTGGACAATAAAGAGTGATTTTGTCCTTGGCAAAATATATGGCATTTCCTTTGAGCATCAGTTATATGTATATGGATTTATATCTTGACTAGATGCGTGTAAGCTACGTTGTGTGAATTCTCTGTTATCCATCACTTGAAGAAGTGAGCATTCACCATAACTGATGAAAATAATTCTTGGCAGGGATATATATTGACTTCAGAAATTGATGGGACCATTCAAATGAAGAGTTATCTAAGTGGAAATCCCGAAATCAGAGTAGCTTTTAATGATGACCTGACAATTGGAAGAGGCGGGAAGTCCATTTATGGTAATCTCACGGTTCCTCTGTATTGAATTATTGCAATGTAATAATATTGTTTGCATTTGACGTGGATTATATTATACTTGTGTGACCTTTGAACTCTATTGTGAATATCTCTTTGACAGTCTTTGAAGTTCAACTTCTTGTATTTGTTATATACAACTCTCCGATAGATGTAAAAACCAATTATCAAAATTAACTTTGTACAGATTATAGTGGTTCGTCTGGGTCAGGAGCTGTAATTTTGGATGATTGCAATTTCCATGAATCTGTGCATCTGGATAGTTTTGATGTAGACAGAACATTGTCTCTGGTGGGTGATTCAAAATTGTGTAAGGCTTGTGATCCATTTGATTTGTCTTCTCAGATTCTCGCCACACATAAAGTTGTTTTGTACTCTTGTGCATATTAGGTACCTCCGGATGGTGAATTTCCTGTCATGAATTACCGGATTACCCAGGAATTCAAGCCTCCTTTTCGTATTAACACTTTGATTGAAGAATCTGGAAATTATAAGGTATATAACATTTCCCCCCTTATTTAGGTGCTTCATCATGCGTTACCATATTTTCCGTATAGATGTTGCTTGTACTTATGACAATGAGTCAATGACTATGAATAAATGGAAACAAACATAACCATAATTTTTTATTTTTCTGGTATATATCCATATTTGTAGTGCCTACTACACTGGCAATCTATCTGTTAATAACTCTTTATGAAGGATGTTGCAAACTGGTCCAAAATTTTGTTTTCTTCTGTATTTAGGCTGAAGTGATCCTGAAAATCCGTGCTGAGTTTCCTTCAAGCGTTACGGCTAATACAATTGTAATAGAGATGCCACTTCCAACATACACAGCCAGGTGAAGCTCTATTTTGTCAGTTACCCATTGAATCCCTTTTTCATGGTGTTCCATGACAATTTTTAAGGCTAAGCAGAACGAAAAGTGTTTTCCGTGGGATGGGAAATGAAAATTATTAGTACCACATGAAGTTTATGAACAAGTGACTTGATACTTGAATTTATTTTGATTCTTTTATCTAGCATTGAAACCAGTAATTTGATTTGTTTTCTCCTGATATATTTATGCATTAAGATTTGGCTAAAGCTATGGCACTATGCCCTTGTTTGACCCCCATTTTTGAGGGAAAGTGTGTTTTGGAATAGTGATTTTTTGGAGAATGTGGTTCAAAAATAAGGTAAAATTTTAGGTTTACATTTAAAATCATTTTATGAGAGAATGAGTGGTAGAAAATGAGTTGAAAAAAAATGAATCTTTGAAAGGATAGAGCCCAAACAGGGGGCTATATGTCAAAATTATGTAAAGATATTTATGTACGAAAGTGACTGATAGATAATGTGACAATTGGCAAAGCATAAAAGAATTAGTTGGAAAGGGGCTAACACAAGTTAGAGTCCTGCACTAGCTTTTTGGATCTCTCACGTGATGGTTAGGCTTGTCCCCATGCAAAATATTACATATATATGTTGAAATCAGCCACGTGGAGATGAGTTGACAAAATATTTTGATTCAATGTTATCGAAGTTAGGGCTGTTTCCATGTATATATTTACAATTGCAGAGGCTAAACTAGGAAAGATTCAAACGAGACAAATCAGAACTAATTCTTTAAAATCAGGAAATACAATGTCTTCAGAATTTCCTATATTACAACACGTATATATTTACGCGTTTCTTTCCACACTCCCCCTGAAGCTAATGCATGGATGTTATCCATTCCAAGTTTGTCAACTAACTCTGAAAAATTATATTGGACAACCCCTTTGTGAGTATATTTGCGAGCTAATTCTCTGTAGAGACAAATGGAATGCAAATCAGACCACTATCAAGTTTCTCCTTTATAAAATATCTGTCAACTTCTATATGTTTTGGGCGATCATGTTGTACCAGATTATGTGCAATATTGATAGCCAACTTATTGTCACAATACAATCTCTTTGGACCTTCCCACTTAATCTTCAAAAAATATCTTTAACCATAGGAGCTCACAAATTCCAAGTGCCATTGACCTGAATTTTGCTTCTACGCTCGATCTTGCAACCATTTTCTGTTTTTAACTCCATGTAACAAGATTTCCACCCAAGAATGTACCATAACCTGAGGTTGATTTTCTATCATCACTTGATCCTGCATAATCAGCATCAGTATAGGCTACTAGAGTAGATCCTTTTCCTCATCTAAACAAAATCCCCTTACCTGGTGAACCCTTCAAGTACCATAAGATTCTATTCACTGCCTTGAGATGAGTCTCTTTTGGATTATGCTTAAACTGGCTTACCACACTTACAGCATATGCTATATCTGGTCTAGTGTATGATAAATAAATCAATTTTCTAGCTAGCATCTGATATTACCTCTATCAATGACATCATCTTCTGGGACTTCACTCAACTTATGGTTGAACTCTATGGACGTGTCAATTGGCTTATACGCCAATTTACCTGTATTCTTCAGGAGATCAATTACATATGTTGAGATATGAAAATCCCTTACCGAGAGTGGACCACTTCTATGTCAAGAAAATATTTTAGTTTACCAAGCTCTTTGATCTTGAATTCTTTCACCAAACGTCTCTTTAATTTTTCAATTTCTTTCGTATCATCTCCCATCACTATTATGTCATCCACATGAACCAATAATGCAATAATTCCCTCGGAAGCTGAATGTCTCACAAACAAGTTATGATCACCTTGACTCTGTCTGAATCCAAGACTCAACATAACTTTGGTAAACCTTTCAAACCAAGCTCTTGGAGATTGTTTGAGTCTATACAATGCCTTCTTCAATCTGCATATTGCTTATTCTTCATTTGTAGAGCCAATTCCTGAAGGAACTTCCATATAGATTTCTTCTTCAAGATCGCCATGTAAGAAGGCATTTTTTACATCAAATTGTTGCAATATCCATCCAAAGTTGGCCGCCAATGACAATAACACTCTCACCATGTTCATCTTCACAACTGGAGCAAATGTTTCAATATAATCTATGCCATAGGTCTTTGTATAACATTTTGCAACCAATCTCGCCTTATACTTGTCTAATGAGCCATAAGACTTATTTTTTTTATAGTAAAGACTCCATCCACACCCAACTGGTTTTTTTTTTTTTTTCATTTCGACAATTTCACCAAATCTCATGTCTTTTTTTTCTATAGCCTCCATCTCCACCTTCATGGCATTCCTCCAATTCTCATTTCCTAGTGCCTCGAATAGTGTTTTGGGAATGACAGTACTGTTAAGGCTAGTGAAAGATCCTATGATTATGGGATAGCTTTTTATAGGACATGAAAAGGCGCAAAGTATTTTGGGTACAAGTCCTAGTTCCTTTCCTAAGAGCTATAGGGATGTCATAGTCATTTTCTTTTTGGGTATTTGGAACATTAGAATTAGGAGAAGTGGTTGGCGTACTTACCTCAACAGTGACTGGGTTTGGATTAGATGATTGAACTTGCACAGGATCAGAGAATGACCCCTTCTTTCTTTAATAAATCTTAAGATAGTATGGTTTATTTTCTGTGCTACAGGTGTGGAAAGGACTGCAAGGACGAACTCATACTAGACAAGAACAGATGAGGACTTGGACTGAACATGAACTAATAGGGACGTCGTAGACATAAGTAACAGAAGAAGGAAAGAGTCGTTATCCTTATCTTCCATGAATGATATCTCCCCCTGAAAATAAGGATATCGAAAGTATTGATCGTCCTCAACGAAAATGACACCGACATACATGAAATTTTAGTGTGCGAGGATGATAGCACTTATAGCTTTTTTGAGTAGATGAGTAACCAACAGACACATTTGAGAGCCCTTGGATCGAGCTTGCCCCTATGTTGAGAATGGATGTGAACAAATGCAACACAACCAAATATTTTGGGAACTGGATTGTTAGTGACTTTGAAATTAGGATAGAACTTTGCAAAGACTTATACGGGACTCTGAAAATCAAGCACCTTCGTGGGAAGTCCATTTATGATGTGAGATGCAATTATCATGGCTTTTCCCCAATGATTTCTTGGAACTTGTTTTTGGATAAGAAAGGCTCGAGTAATTGCTAAAAGATAGCCTTTTTTTGTTCGGCCATTCCATTTTGTTGGGGGGTGCTAATACAAGATGACTCATGAATGATGCCTTGTTGTTGAAAGAATGGTGGGAGGGTTTGATTAAAATGATCTTTGGCATTATTAGATATTAAACGTTTAATTCCCACTCCATTGCTCAATTGGTGAGGTCTTGGGTTTGCTCCCCAATGGTCACTAGTTCGAGTCCCCTCAGGGCCACTGAGGTGAGTACTCGGCCGTAAACTTCAGGGTCCCGTGGGATTAGTCGAGGTGCGCGCAAGCTGGCCCGGACATCCACGGTTATCAAAAAAAAATTGTCTCGACCACATTGAAATTTTTTTTAAACACGAGACTCATATCCGATTTGTTTTTTAATAGAAAAATTTACGTCATACGAGTGCAATCCTCAATAAACGAAACAAACTAATGAGCCCCAAAAATGTTGGGCACAATAGTAGGCCCCCAAATGTCATTGTGAATAAGAGTTGAAGTTTGGGTGGTAGATTCACACGATGCGGTGGAATAGTGGGTGGTCGTTTTTGTTACCGAACAAATATTGTCAGCTGTTTGTTGAGAGAAACAATCAAACAACACATTTGATTGGTGGTGATTCAACTAGAGTGGCTGCGGTTGTTCGGGTAACATCTGTGGGCGGCGGTGACGATTATGGGTTACTGTATATTGGATTTGGTGGTTGATTTATGTGTGGTTTATTGAAGGTGCCGGTTATTTAGCAGTTGCAGGCAATTACTATATAGTCTTTATTGGGTTGGAGGTTTGGCTTGTGGGGTGGTTGTGTTTGCTGGAAATATTTGGTGGGATTATAGTTGGTGGTTATGATGATTCTAGGAAGTTGAAGGTGATTGGCTGCGTCTGGTAATTTGGAGAAGATAACAGAGTTGGTAAAACACAGTTCGGTTTATGGGATGAGGTGGAGAAAGACATCAATAGTTCCCAGGTTGCTTTGTCTGCAGGTAGCAACAAATTTAAGCAGCGTTTTGATCAAAGAAACTAAGTTTAGCTTTGATACCACTTTGATGTAGAATGAATTGAGAATTCTATTGCAGCTTGAAGCAGGGAAGAAATTGGCAGCAAGAAAAGGGGGAGAACCGGAGAGAAGGGGGAAGAAACCTGGATGAGAAGAGAGCAAGAGGGATAAGAGGGGCTTGGGCCATCCCATAATACAAGCTCGACTAAATAAAATAAGTATGATCCAATAATAACAAAAGAGGTGATGTCCACATCAGCAGGGAAGAAATGGGCAGCAAGAAAGGGGGGAGAATCGAAGAGAAAGGGGAAGAAACCAGAAGAGAAGAGAGCAAGAGGAAGATAGTGGAGGAAAACTTTCGCTCCAAGCAATGCTACTTTTCATTCAATTCATCATCAACTGTCTTGAAATTACATGACCAGGACTAGGGGTGGGCATGGGTTGGGTTGGGTTGAGTCGGTTTTTGCCTCAATCAAAAACTCAACCTAACATGATCGGTTTGATCAAAATTAACCCAACCATGCAAAAGGCTGAAACCCAACCCAACCCAACCCAACTCAACCCAACCCAATCTAATCAAGTATGGGTCGGGTTGGGTTGATCGGTTTGGGACTTGTCAACAAAAATGAAAGTCATCCAATTTTCTATTATGCTAAATTCGAATAGATAAGATTAAATAGTAAGTGAATAAATAAATAAAATTATCTATTATTTTATTCAATTCTCATTAGTCGAACCTACAAAGAATAAAGTGCATTTAATACAATATAAAAAACTTATACTACATTTCTTGTGGGAATTATTCAATACTAATTGGCCGAGCTTACAAAGAACAAAGTGCATTTAACATAACATGGAAAACTTATACTATATTTCTTGTGGGAACTACAGTAAGCTCCTCCTCTAAAATGCACCAAGGTAATTATAGTTACACTATCTGCTCATACTTTTAGGTTCCTTTTACTTTTTAGGCATTTTATTTCTTTTTTTTTTTAAATAGGTTGGTTGGGTTGGGCGGGTTTATTCGATTTTCATGAGTTAACCCATAACCCCGACCCGACCCGACCCAACCCGCATACACAGCCAACCCACCCAACCCGTGTAAAAACAACGAAAAAACCAACCCAAACCGGTCGGGTTGGTTCAATTTGGGCGGTTTGGGCGGGTTCGATCTGGTTTTGCCCACCTTTAACCAGGCCATATAAATAGAGAAACCAACAAACCTAGAAAGTAAATGGGCTTGGGCCAAACCCAATAATACAAGCCCAATTTAAACTAAACAAAACATATATCGAAGTAGCGCAAAACATCTATGGGTGATGACTGCATCATCAATTGATTGAACTCCTTGAGAACAGAAAAGCAGGGAAGTATTCAGCAGACCCATAGCAAGAAGAGCAGAAGCAGAAGAAGCAAGCTAGAAAGGGGGTAGAAATCGGAGAAGAAACAGGGGAGGGGAGGAAAGAGAATCGGGGGAAGGAGATTTTGTTGGCTGAGAGCCAAAATCATTTTCATTTCATATAATCACAGTTGTTTTTCCATGTTCAATACAAACCTTATAAATAGAGAAATCACCAAACCTAGAAAGCAATGGGCTTGGGCCAACCCAATACTACGAGCCCAATAACAAAATATAAATAAAAGAAAAGGATCCAAATAGCAAAAAGAAAATGATGTCCACATATAGTAGTGATGAACCATCAGCTATGGTGATTTTCTTATTACTAGGTCTGGGTGTGCATGAGATAAATTTTGTGGAAGAAAAAGTCATATGGTCTATGGCTCCTGAGTCGATGACCCATGTGTTGGGGGTAATATTATCCAAAGCATTAAGAGCGTAGATGATATACCTGAAAATGCTAGATTACAAGTACCTGCTGAAGATGATTGCTTCTCCAGTGACCTCAAAAAGTTCTTCAATTTCTCAATCTCATTTCTGTTGAATTCAGATGGTGTCTTTGAGTTGCTATCTTTTGTTGACTGCTCTGGCCATATGAGCTTGACCCTGTCCTCTTCCTAGTCCGCTTCTCCCTATTCCATTCTTATTTGGGACTTGTGGCCTGTCGTGAAGTTACCAACATTTCTCTTCGGTGTGACGGAATTTTTTGCAGTAGGTGCACCACAAATTGTATCTGTTAAAAGGTTTTGACTGACTTGGCTGATTGTTTTCTTCGGTGGATGACTGAGCACAGTACTCTTTTCAATTGTTTTTGAAACCAACTCCGAGTTTTCAACATAAATATTCTCAACCATAACTCCTATCCTTCCTTCTTCAGCACAGATTATTGAAATTGTCTCATTAAGAGATGGTAGATCTTCCTTGCCAAGGACTTGAACCTGTACTGCATCAAACTCAATATTAAGCCCTGCCAAAAAAAATCATAAATTCTGTCCTTTTCAACAAACCTATTAAGCGTGTTGCAACTTCACTACACTTCATCTGGATGCAATGATAATGATCTATCTCTTGCCTGAGACTTTGCAAGAGATTGGAATACTCAGTAATTGTCCAATTTCCCTGTTTGGTAGTAGCAATCTTAGTCTTGATCTCATAGATTTGTGCAGCGCCGCGAACCTTAGAATACGTTTGGTTGATAGCTTCCCAAATCTCCTTCGCGGTATTAAGGAACATGCAGGTGTCCTTGTTTTCTGGGGACAGAGAGTTCCAAAGCCAGGACATCACCATTGAGTCTTCCGCATCATATTTGGGATCTCCCTTCTTAGGACCAGTATCAAGCAAATGACTCGATTTGCCTCTGCCCTTAAAGTGTGTCCGCACCAGTTGAGACCACTTCAAATAATTTCTCCAACAGCATTGTGGCTTTTCTCGATGGCCTGGGTCTTGGTTGCTTGAAGTTCATACGTGTGACTGACTCGGTGATTTTAGATATGGCTCAAGAAGAACAGAGGAACATCAGAGAATTTTTCGAGTGGAAAGAAGAATCTCTGGTGATGATCAGATAGAGATAAACAAGGGAAGAAAAGAACTCACAAAATTCTGGAATGAGAACCAGAAAAAAGATCGATAGAATTCCCAGAGAAAGAGCCTAAAGCTCTGAATACCATGACAAAATATGTTGATTCAATGTTATTGAAGTTATGGTTGTTTACACGTATATATTTACAATTGCAGAAGCTAAACTTGGAAAGAATAAAATTGGGAAATCTCCTAATCTTAGGAGACAAATCAGAACTAACTCCCTAAAATCAGGAAATACAATAACTGCAGAATCTCCTATATTACAGCACATGTATATATTTATGTATTTTTTTTCCACGAGTCATTCACTAGACGATAAATAGCCAAGGCTCACTAACGTGTCCACAAAAATGAAATTTCTTCTCTTAAAATGGTTAATGCTTAGCTAATTTGTACCGCAGGCACCTAGGGCTGTGTAATATTTTCTAAGGATTAATAATCTTGGGAGAGTACACTATTATTAGAGCTATTAATCAGTAAGTTCTCACACTTACACAGAAAGTGTATTTTTTTTATCATTACCAAACTAACAAAGTTTATGCTTGTTACGATTTTTTAACATACTAAGCTTGATAATCCGATCCTTAGATGAGGCACAATGGTCTTTTGTATGAATTACTATGGTTTATTATGCCCAATCATGTCATGACCTCAAGGATATTGAGTAAGCCATATTAATCACACGTTTATGCATGGACGTATGCGAGTGCATAGTTGAGAATCCAAAATCTTGATTGGACAAGGAAAATGCCCTATGAGATTTTCTATTAAACCAAGTATAACATAGATTGCTCGTATGACTGAATTCGTAGATTTGATACATTACAATGATCTTCATAGAATCCAGAGAATGTCTTGTCAAAGTCATTTATATGCCGAAGCCTTGATTAGTGTTTTTATGCGGGTCAAGTAGCTTTAATTAATGTTTGTCACCATTATCTCTTTCTACTTCAACCTCATCTCCAATCTTCATTAACGATTTTCCATTAATTAGCAAATGTAGAATTTCTCCATGCAAAGTCGTAAATCCTGTCTCAATAATTTGGTCTTGAATTAACTGCGAATATTTTTTTCTTACATTGCAACCCAGTAATACGACGTGTAGAGTGCGCTCATCCCTGGATATTATTTTATTTACTTCGTGACATGATTAAGTATGCTCTGTTTTAGCACAGTAATTGATATTATATTCAGTGCATTCACCCTAACAGTGGCAAATATATCTAAATACATAAAAGATTCCAGTCTAATCATAAATATTGTAAAAGGATTTTTCTCAAAGTGGTTTTTGGGATTTGAATAGCGTTGACGCCTATAAAATTTTATTAACGGTGCTATGCTACAACTTATTTTGGTGCTAAGTATAGAGTACCAACCTTCTAATTATGATAGGAATTCTTAAGACCTTATTAATGACTACTTTATTACCTCAAAACATTTTAGGAAAGGAAGAATGCTAGTGGGGCCGCAGAACTGTATTAGACATTCTTCCTGTAGTGATTTTTTAGTCTTGTTGATGGCTCTTTGTTTGTGTGTTATACTAATTACTAAGGAGTTGGCCTTCATCTCATTGAATTTCAGAGTTAATTTTGAATTGGAGCCCGGAGCTGTAGGACAGAGGACTGATTTCAAGGAATCAAACAAGAGGCTTGAGTGGAGTCTGAAGAAGGCAATATACTTGCTGTTTTACACTGCTGAATAATCTCTAGATTCAACTTATTTTAATGCCAGCATATTAAAGAAGTTGCTAATTGGTGTGATATGCAACAGATTGTTGGCGAGTCTGAACACACTTTACGGATGAAGCTAACGTTTCCACAGGAGTTGCATGGTATGATTAAAGTGTCTTGAAATATTTTATATTGAGTTTTGTTGCGCTACCCTATACTTTTTGCCGGTAATGTGATCATTGCTTGTTAACATAGGAAATATCATAAAGGAAGCTGGACCTGTCAGCATGACCTTCACCATACCTATGTATAACCCTTCAAGGCTTCAGGTAAAAAAATTCATTTTGAATGACTCAGCCGAAAATAATTTATCAATTGTTGTTGGTTCACTCTTTGAAGTACTATTGGTTGGGAAATTTCTCAGGGCTCTGAAACATCTATGTTTCTGCAAAATATGATCTCAGAACGAGTCTGCATATATGATTCAATTCTGGAAAAATAAGTTTACAGCCTCTAATGCAGTAGGGGGCATCATTTTTATTTGCCTCTATAATTTTACCCTCAAAAGAAAAGGAAAATTATGGGATTCTGCAGTCGGGTGTAGGCATTATTCGAAGGTTAACAGTAAGCGGCAGCACCATCTATACACGTTCTACCTCTCAAAAACTTCAATGCATTCAACAAAAATAAGTGGAGGAAATAAAATCGAACATTTCATATGATTTTACTGTTCCGTTTTACCTCTAGAAAGAAAGGCAGAGTAGACGGAAATTTCGCATGAATACATTCTGTGATTTTGTTGATTTTCCAATGTTCTTGTGCAAGTCTCAACTAGTTTATGCCTTTTGCAGGTAAAATATCTACAGATTGCCAAGAAAACAAAAACTTACAACCCATATCGTTGGGTTAGATATGTCACTCAGGCCAATTCTTATGTTGCTCGTATATGATTTGTCATGTATACAAAGCCCTAACATTCCTTAGTTCTTGAGTTTCTTTTTGGACTTGAACTTTGTGATAATGAAGGTGAACCTTTTCACTAGAGTTACAATTTTATTTCTAGATTATATTGTTGCTTCCAATCATCTCTATTTCATTTATCTAATCCAACTTGCATTTGAGAGTCGAAGACTTTTTTTGTCCTTGTTTACGTTGATGATGGCATAATGGTGGATTGTGACTCAGAGTGTGTTTGGTAGGGATTTTTGAGGGAAGAATTGATTTTTGAATAGTGATATGATCGGAAATGTGTGGTTGAAAAAGAAGAAAAAAGTATTGATGTGATGAAAAATATTATATTATTGAAGAATGTGTGGTTGTTTTACGTTGATGATGGCATAATGGTGGATTGTGACTCAGAGTGTGTTTGGTAGGGATTTTTGGGAGAATAATTGATTTTTGAATAGTGATATGATGGGAAATGTGTGGTTGAAAAAGAAGAAAAAAGTTTTGATGTGATGGAAAATATTATTTTATTGAAGAATGTGTGGTTGAAAATGAGAATTGATTTACTGTAGAAAATGAGAATCTGTACCAAACAGGCTCTCAATGAGTTAAAAATGTGATAAAGGTGGATATAAATGACACCCTTATCCTATTTTAGTTGTGTATACGAGTTCATTGGGGGTATAATGTATTTTATGAAGGAAAAAACTAGTTTTTTAGAGATTCACACTCATTTTCAATCATATATTCGCAAAATGAAATATTTTGCACTTAAATTCAAAAAAAAAATTCTCTAGTTTTTAATCACATTCTCCAAGTTAATTGTTCAAAACTTTATTTTTGTCAAATAATGGCCATTAGACAGGGCCTTGGTATTTTTATTGTGTTTGTACTTATTAGATCAAACTACTTGTACAAGTTAGATGCTATTTTTGCTTCTCTCTTTCTGTTTTTTCAAAATCTGAATACAAATAGTTCTCCAAATATAGCTGTGACCCCAAAAGTATGAGTTTAGGCACGAGCGAGTGCACATATAAATCCAACAATGATATCAAGGCAAGTGAGAATCTATACAATTTGGTAGTTGGAGCAGAGCAACTAACAAATCAATGTCATCTGATAATTTTAGTTGCATGCTCCATCAAATCCATTAACTCTAAATAATAGAGTGACGTGAATTGAAATAATAAAGTTTAATGACTTGATTGACATTTTTTAACATGAACCTTGCTACTTGTACAAAAGAATTTGTACAAAAAGGTTGACAAACCCTCACATGTGGGGGAGCCCACTTTTTATTTTCAATTTTTTATTCACGAGGGGCCGACAATCATGTGAGAGTTTGTCAACATTTTTGTCAAACTCTTTAACATGTTTATCGAAAAAACAAAATTGTAACACATTGAACTTAAAGACTTCGTTCAAAGTTTGGTGATCTCCATTAAATTTTGAGTAATGTTATTTAATAGCATTGGAGTTGTAACCCCCGGTTTAAGTAGCTTTGATGTGGTATTAAATAATAAGTGAAATTAAATTCATTTCACTTTTCATTTGGCATGTCATGTAGATTGCAACCTCAATGGGGTTACATAATATTATTCTTAAATTTTACCCTTTGATTTGATAGATATTATTCATTCATTGTAATTATCTTTTCACTTAAACTTCAATTTCCTTAATGAGCTTTATCAATATGCGGAAAACTTTTTTTTTTTTGAATCAATTAATTAATTGAAATAGCATTTTATGAAAATACAAAATAGTGGGATGCGAGCACGAGAGTCAAAATTTAATTTTAGTATTTCAAATTTTTTTACTCGGACTTAAAAATCATATTTGATTTTTTATTATTTTGATGATTATTATGAAGTAATGGACAAACGAATACTATATACAAATTATAAACGAAAAAGAGATTGAAAATGACGACCATGAGAGAAAATTTGAAAGAAAGTTCAAAATAAATTAGAACAACGAAACGGGAGCCCACATACTAACAAACTGGCCTAGTCAGGCCGTAATTTCAGTGAATTTGCTCGTGAACAAGGTAATTTGTCAAAAATTATAAAAAAAAAATTTAAGTTTCAAAAATTCAGGGTTTTTTATAAAAAAAATTTAGCAGATTTTTATAAAAGTTGATTATTGTATATAAAATTTTAATAAAGGTTGTAAATTTCATGAAAAGTATAGTTAAAATTGAAATTAATCAGTCCATAAAGTTTTAGCTAACTTTTATGAAACAAAAACTTCAATTTTCGTTGTAATTATTTTTTCTAATTTTAAAAATTAAAATTTCAACAATTTAGTGAAGGTTTTTAAGGGATAAAATCTCACATCAAATAAAGATGAAAACTTAGATCAATTTATAAGGATTATGACTACTCTTCTTAATAAGGAAGGCCATTTAAGATGAAACCCCAAATCTTGATAAAATCTCACATCGAATAAAAATGAAAATATAGACCAATTTATAAAGATTTGAGTTATTCTTTTCTTTTTAATAAAGTTGGCATTTTAAAAAGTAATACCAAATATTAATATAGTATCAGAACACATTAAACTCCAACTAGCGATTCGATCTCATTAAGAGCCAAAAAATGAGCAGGCGAATTTTAAAATTGATTTGTTCAAACGAGCCACCATTTTATGAGGGGCATGTTAAGAGATAAAATCACCATCAAATAAAGATAAAAAATTAGTCAACTTTATAAAGGTTTGGTTACTTCTCTTAATAGTGTTGACTTTTTAAAATGGAACTCGAAATCTTACATAGTATCAGAGTCCATTAAATTCCAACGAGCAATTCAATTCGATTAAGACTCAAAATATGAACACACGTATTTCAAAATTGATTTGTTCAAACGAGTCATCATTTTGTGAGGCATGTTAAGTAAAAAAAGTACACAATAAATAAAGATTAAAATATAGATCAATTTTATAAGGATTTGAACTACTACTTTTAATAAGGTTGACCTTTTAAAATGAAACTCTAAGTCTTGATAGAAGCCATTGCTCCTCGTGTTCTGGCTCTATTAGAGACCATGCAATTAGTTTCGAACCCCCTACTCCATAGTGAAGAGTGATAATGAAAGTAATTATGAGCCAAAAAAATTTAAATGGATGGAATGATGACGACGAGTGGGTACATGATATTTATAGTGGGAATTATTTTTTTTATTGAGTTTTTCTTTATTATTGTGATTGACTCAAGGTCAAGTCATGTACTTCAAATTGTGTATTTATTTATTTATTTTATATTAATATTATAAAAAACTCACACTTACGTGGTCAATGTGGCCATCGAATTGTGAGATGTGATGCTACGTAGCGCTTATTTGGTACAGATTTTCATTTTGTACAGTAAATCAATTCTCATTTTCAACCACACATTTTTCAATAAAATAATATTTTCCATTACATCAATATTTTTTTCTTCTTTTTTCAACCACACATTTTCCATCATATCACTATTCAAAAATCAAATTTTCCCTCAAAAATCCCTACCAAACACACTCGTAATATCACGTCTACAAGAAGACACATTGATCCGATAATCAAAGATTTTTCCATGATGATCATATAGAGAATGTAGATGCCTGGCAAGTAACATTGGAATCATTTTTCAGTTCGTATATTTGGTGAATCGTTTCCAGTTTGTACATATAACATTGCTCCTTATTTCAAGACTTACGACAAGTGTGCGGTGTTTACAAATATTGTACAAAAGGGTAGTTCTATTACTTTTGCTATACATTGTAATTTTGATTTAATCTAAAAAATAAAAGTGATTCATTTATTTTTGCATTCCACGATATTATTATAATATTTATTATAAAATTGTATGATGATTATTGTTAACGATTTAGTCTTATACTTAGCTAAGTCATATATACTCTGGAAGAGTATTCTATTCGGTGAAATCTTAAAATGTACGGGATCTTTGGAAAGTAATAAGGTAGTGGAAATAAATTTCAAATTGAATTGTATCAACTCGTTATCAAATTCAAATATAAATTTAGCAAAAGAGATTGGTTTGTTTATGTCTAAATTATCTACTAATTATTTAAGATGGTTTTGAATCTGCTTATTGTTATCCTATTTTCAATTTTCGACCCATGTGATTTGTGTGTTCTTGACAATGATAATCTTATTTTATTTAATTGTCTCTCCCGATATAAGTTAAACATATTTTAATCACAACCTGGTCATATTTTTATTTTGAATTCATATGCAAAGTAATGCATTAAATTTAAGGATTATCTTTATGATTGCACACTCAAGAGATTTATAACCTTTAATAGAAAACCGTTAAGTAGTCACTTGATCTATTTTTAGGGTGATGGTTCCCAACTCAAATTCGTGTTCTCTACACACACTGTTCTCAGCTCCCAACTCACCGAAATATTTGATCAATCAAATTGATTGCCCCTATTATTAAATCATAAAACTATTAAACTCACAAAACATAGAAGTTAATTATCCACATGGTCATGTAGTAGAAGTAAGCTTGACACAAAAAGTAGAAGTTAATTCTCCACGATACTGCAGTAAAGTGTCAAGACATATCCACTCGTGGACTTGAAAACTTTAGTATTTGATATACAATTAACATCACAGTATCCTTCAAGTACTACTGAATATCTTGAATAGTGCAATCTGAACATTTGATATGTTTTAAATACCCTAAACTCTAACAATTGCCTTCCAATACTCAGTGCTCGAATTACTTGTATATCGACTTAGCCTACTTGTAGAGTAAGCATAGCTCATGACATATCACTATCAATAATACTAAAAATATTCCAGCTAAAATTTACTATTATCGATGTTTGGATTAATATTCCTACTAGCATCAATATAGTGTTATTGAGACAATATGGGACAATCCAATGTTCTAGAGATTATTATTCTAATATAACATCGATGATACCTAGCTAAATCCTTCATTTCGAAATTACTCATTAACAATTTTTATAGTTTGAATTATGGTTTGTTATTACTCATA